CAATAGTAATTCTGTCATATCGTGTGACCATAGATATTCCCATATCCTGTTATTTATGCCACTAACATCCAGTTTTAAAGGCTTGGTTCTCATTCCACATAAACTGTTTAGATGTAATATATTTTAAAAACAGGAGCAAACCTGTTCAAAACTCAACCACTTCTTAAACCTATTATCTGTCTCATATACCTTTAAATTTTCCACCAGTTTGGCTTACTGTAAGGGCTTGCCATTGAAACAGGATGTCATATCAGAACATAAACTACAATACAGTGGCCAAGCATATGTTAGTGAAGATTAAACCTAAGTCCTACATATGTTCACTTTGAATATTACAACCCTCACTGAAAGCTGCATTACTTACAGCAAATTTAAGAGCATTTAGTTTGCAGAATTGAGGGCTATATGCAGCAATTTAAAATACATGGAACCACTAATAAAAAGATATTCTAAGTAATAAACCATAATATGATATCTGTTACTGAACAAACTTCTGGTGGTCTAGGAACATTGCTGACTTTTTTTCACTTCCCTTACCATAGTGTAAAAAGGAAAGCTGTTGTAATTGCATTGGCACCAGTTTAAAATGGTAGGTTGAAGCAGGTTATGGAAGTGGGCAAAATGGCATATAGCTGCTAATTTGTTTAATTAATCAAGACAGAAAATGGTTTCAGAATCCAATAACATATTACATAGGTTTCTGCTTTTCCTTCCGTTTTCTTTGGAACAAAAGTTTAAAATGAACCTGGGCCTTAAGGGCATACCACCATATTCTGCAACTCGTAACTGAATTCCTGTTACTCAGTTCTGTGTTGGAGCAGAAGGAAGAGAGGTAGGAGGAGGCTGTTTGACCCTTTCTCCTTTTCAGCTCAAAATCATCCCTACAAGCTGACTTTCCTCTTTTTGGAAAAAGGTTTGGGGACCCTGTATCATTGTCCTTAGGGGTGAAAACAATAGAAGCAGCAGAAGCTGCTTGGGGATGAAAAGGGATTGCACAGGAAAATGTTCAGTGGCCAGACTAGCATTTTCTCCACTGCTGCTAGATCATGAGGTACTGGCACATGTTACTGCTGCCAGCCCAAAGACTAGACAGTATCCAAGGACCAGGGCAAGCTTGGTTCATGACATGTGTACTCCAACAGCTTTGCAAGTGAGAAGGTCTGTCCACACTGGGCATATGTCCTGCAAAATGGCACATCGGCATGTGCGCCTCCTTTAGGCAAAGGGTAGAAATTCTGGTTTGCTGCATGCATCAGATATGTGAGCTTCTCCTTTATATGTTAAATGAAATGAAGATGCCCCCACTTCTCATGATTCCTCTCCTTTGGCTTCTTTGTGTGCCTGATGCCCCCTGCAGTCTTCTCACCTGTAGCTATATTGTGTTTACTATCGTCTTTTTCAGCCTGCTTTCTATCTTCATGACTGCTGGAAACTTAGTGTAAAACTTCCTACTCCATACTACAATCCCAGAAATGTGAGATTATGTAAGAAATGTCTTTAGGAAGAAACTCTGTGCAAGCTCTATTCATGCAAATATAACTAGATAAGTCAGATGTAACTTTTTATTTTATTTGAGGGCTTAGAAATACCAAGGCAGAGGGATAGCTTAGGATATGTCAGGAGAGTCAGCCTGACTGATGGCAGGTTATTGCAATTCTTTTCTAAGGAATCCAAACAAACAGAGGTCTACTAGTAGCAAAAACTTCTCACCACAGATGTATCACACCATTACTATTTTGAAAATTAATGATAAAGATAATTTTCTGTTTGTGCCAAAAATGTGGCACATCTGCCAATACATATCATTATTGTGTTTTGTCATTATTTTATTATTGTAGGTAGTCAACAAAGAAATATAACTCAGCACCCCTACAAAAGGTCTAGATTTATGTAATGAGGAAAACTATAATTATTTCCTGGTTTTTCTGTAACATTAGAATCTACTAAAAGCATGCAATGTACATTCATAATTATCAATAACAGGCACTAATGCATTTCTGCAATTTACAGCCTTTGACTTTTAGAAATTGAAAATGCTCAATCTGTTATACAAAAGGACATGGCATTTCAATAAGAACCCATCAGCAAACCTCTGAAAACAACTGAAAGAACCTCTAGTGCTTTCCAGTAAAGAGAAAAACAAAACCTTTTGATGCTCCTGACCCTATTCATAATAGGCAGAAACAAAAGTTCATGGTTTGTTCTGCATTACATTCAATATTCTACAATATTTAGACATGTGTATATATAGCCTTAGAGACACATATTACAACTGATGAATAGTCACCTCTGAAAGCAGTAGCACTCCATGCCTTTGCTCAGTGTGCCTGTCAAGACCCTGAAGTTCATAGGCTCAGAAACTGTGGAAGCAGCGCTCCCCACAGAGGAACCACCAGGTCTGAGTACCATTGGGAACCAGAGATCCCACAAGCCATGCTGGAGACCCTTAGGCCAAACCAACAGTTGCAGGCCCTGAGTCTAGCTACAGCACTGGACCATCACACCCATCTCCAAGAGCCCCAAGCCAATGAAGCTGGTGCACCAACACCAGAAACACACCCACTGTGAGGTGTTGGAGAAGCTGAGAAGTGCTAGACTCCACTCAGAAGACTGTCTCTTTAAGGAGCTGAGTCTGAGAAGAGGCTTCTGGGCTGAAGCATAAAAGGCTTTGGCCTTCCCTCATACCTTACTAAGCAAGTGGCACCCTAGAGCTCTCCAAGGTACTGCAACTAACAACCAGCTTTCTTGCCTAGACCCCTTTCCTGTCCTGCAAACCAGAACACAGAAGAGTCCCCTATAATATTTAATAAGGTAAAACATGTCAGTAGAGAACTTGCAGCTCTACATATCGCACACTGTGCTGTATGAGTAGTATCTTGATCAAGGTGTGCGCGCTTGTTCACTGGACCTTTACTTTGATAGGAACTGATCACAGAATCACAGAATAGTAGAGCTGGAATGGGCCATGAAGACCATCAGGTCCAACCCCCTGCTGTTGAAGGTCACCAATTTACACCATGCTACTCAGATGGCTGTCCAGTTTCTTTCAGTCTCTAGTATGGGAGAGCCCACCACCTCTGCAGGCAACCTGTTCCATTGTTGTATTGCTCTGACAGTGAGGAAGTGACATTGTGATTATTCACAGTGTTAATAAAAAAGAAGTAGAAGAGCTGATTCTAACCAAACATATGGACAACTGGAAAATAGTTTTTTCACTTACTTACCAGCTCTTAAGTTTAAGACAGTTTGAGCTATGATGGTTCGGTACAGGAAATGTCAGAACATTCACAGGGCTACTCAGAGATATGGTTTGTGGTCTAGTACTGCATTGCCATGCATGATTATTTATTTACTTATTTAAAAATTTCATATACAGCCTTTCATTTAAAAAATCCCAAGACAGTTTGCTCTTTTTTTAAACAATAGCATCGCAATATCAGAAAGGTTCTCTAGTGGAGTTCCTCTTCAGATCACCAGGCGCTCCCCATGGAATGCAAGCAATTTATGGGTGTTTAACTGAGGGCTCCAGAGGCACCTCAGCTGACTATCCATGCCAACTTGCCCGGGCTTCAAGTGTCTTGCTTTCTTTGATTATTTTTAGCTATCTCTACTTATCTTCCTTATGCTCTTGATTTGTGATTATTTATCTTTCTTCTCTTTGTTGGCTTTATTGTGTTAACTTTATTTAAAAAGTAAAATAAAATGTAATGGAAAATGAAAGAAGGGGGAGCTTGTTCAGGCCAACCTTTAGAAGCAGATCTTTGTTTCTTGTTCCCACAGCTGCCGTTTTGGAATCACTATACTTGTCCTCACCACTGTTGCTGGAACTCTGGAGACTGTCACTGAGGAGGTGGTAACAGCCTACAGCCAATGTGACAATCTTCTGTACAGCATGGGTGAGGAGAAAGGTGGAACCTCTTAGGTTATCTATCCTATTTTTAATTTGTCGGATATTGAGCAGCAGCAGGAGTGAGTCTAAAATTGGGAGGTGTTAGTTCTGGCACCTACTAGCTATTCTGTATTTGCATGAGCTGGAGGAAAAGAAAACCACTTTTTCACACTCCATATTGTCCGCCATGCATACCTGCCATAATGCAGCATACCTGTTGACATTGAAAGGTAACAGCTCTCTAGAAGTGATGCAGCTGTCATTTCATCAAGTCTACTAGGGAATGAAAAGAACATGATTGGCAGAAAATGTGAGGGAAAAGCTAAGGCTGCTTCCTACTAAGTCTATGAAGATCATCAGATCTTGCTAAGTTTCCCTCTATACTAGGCTCTGTATTTCATTTTTTAAATGGATGCCATTTGCAGAGCTTTCTGCAATAAGACTACATTTCCTTCAGTGCTCCCCCGGGTCATAGAAAACTGGGTTTGCATGGACATCATTTAAACACAGTTTAAGCAATTCAAAATTTTGAAATGAATTTTCAAAATTCATTGCTGTCTCTCTATATGTTTGCATTTCTGAGGAACTATAATATTAATTTGATTTGTTCTAGACACAATATTCAAAAGTAGATGCTTGATATTTGTTTAAAAAGGTGTGCAAAATAATAGTCAAAAGGGTAATGTGTATGTTACCTCTTTCTCACATATACAGAGAGAACTGCTCATATATGTGATGAATTCACATTACAGGGATAGGATAATGTTGGTGGGGTAGACTACAGAGCATTGCGTGGTCCTTTGGCATCTTCAATAACTATAACGTTTTACTTTTTGCTTCTAGGTGTCTTTTATTTATGTTGCCCTGAAATCTGATGTGTTTGGCAATAAAAAAATTAAATAAAAAGAATTAATAAATAACCTTGATGTTTCAGCATGGAAACCTGTATGAACGCCTGTATTATTCTGCCACCAACAACTTACATTTTGTACTGTTTGTACTAATCTGATTGATGATAACACAGCGGATAAGGGATGGTGGCAGCAGTGCTCATCAGCTTGGAAGGAACATGTCCCCTCAAGGCCAACACTATAACACAGAAAAGGCCTACCTGCCGCAGGTCCAGGGTGATGGTCACATAATGATATTCCTTCCCATTCTGAATGCTAGGACTTTGCCACCAAGTATTCTTGCCATCAATTGCATTTGTTATCGGGTGTCGCACTGTTGGGCCAGCAGTGAGATGCAAAAGAACAAAGTTAACAACAGTGAATGTGAGTCCACTTATATTTTATTTATTTATTAAAACATTTCTATGCCGCCCCTTGCCAAGGCCTCGGGGCGGCTTACAACATCAAGGGCGGCTTCCAACATCTTACCCACTGCACTGGGGGGAAAAACATATTATAACACCTTAACTGGAGTTATAGTCCAGTGATTCTTATGCCATACTGCAGATTTTTAAAAGTGTCCTTTTTAATTCCTAATAAGAACCTTAAATATATAATGTTTAAAAATACAACACAAATGCAACCAAAAAGTTGCATAGCTGAAACGTATTTGCCTTCATATACTTTTCCAGCCATCCTACTGATAAAATATTTTAAAATGCCATGTTCCATTCCCTGGTAGATTGTAGTAGCTGGTTTATACACTGTGATGTATTGGAACAATGTACCAGCCAGTGCAGCAATTAAATCACTATTAATTTCAATAGGACTTTAAATGTGTTGCCATCCATATCCCATTGGAATGAATACTAGATACTCGGCAGCAGTCTCTAATGATTTGCACTTCATGAATCTTCAGCTTTGGGGTGTGTAAAAAAAGAAAAATTGTTAATTGAGAATATGCCATAGTGAAGAACGTGGAACTTTTCAAGCAATATGGTTAGTTTTGTTAGCAGTGACAGCTCGAGTGTCTAGTTTTAAAAGAAAAGAAAAAAGAAAGTAGCTGACAAAACATATTGAAGCAGATGAAGAAAAAATGAGAACTTTTGATAATTAGCATATAAACAGCAACCACAATTTCAATAAAATTCCATGAAAACAAGCTGACATTCACTCTGATGTAAATTTACAGACCCGGCAGTGGCCTATTAAATGTTTTAAAAACTTGGATGCCACAGAAACAGAGGATTTCCCAGGTTTGCACCTTAATTATGTAATCCCCTCCCTTGAAAGGTTAGATGGTCTGTGCTCTGCTTTTAGAAGAACTCTTTTTGGCTTTTCATGCTTTTTCATTGGGACTGGTTTTGCTCTCCACCTGCTTTGTTCTGGCTTTTTGTGCCTGACTTGTAGGATCTGTTTGGAGAACCCTTATAGGTCCCTTCACCTTGCTATGGGTCTCTGGGACTTGTGGTGCAACATGACTGGAGGGCAGGAGGCTGGAAAGACCGGTCCAGTGCACTTCCCAATCAATGGCTTCTCTTTAGAGTTTTGAAAACACACACACACACACACACACACACACACACACACTGAGAAAAACTTTATAGGTGGCTTATTTGTTTGACAGTTTCTGAGTATATATAAATCATATATACACTTCTACTAATTTCTGGGATTTCCTAAGGAACGCCACCAATAGTTGGCGTATAAACCCTCTATTAGCCTATCCTGGCCATGCATAATCATGTTGGCCTTTTGACACCCAAGAAATGTGTAAACAGAACTAACTTTGGAAACCTGAGAGTGAGGCCTATTTGTCTCAGTCAACTAGATGTCACCTGGCTATTTACAAACCAAGTATAAAGCTCTTACATTGCAATCTGATGTGTTGGCACCACAATTAAGCAAATAATGAGCAACTCAATCAACTGTATTTCATATGACTACATTTTATCTCTCTTCGTGTCTGAACACCATTTTTATTCTTATTAATAACAACATTGCCACTCATGGACCAAAAGGGTCTTGAAAGGCATGCACAGTACAAAGTGAAAATATGATGAACTGCTTGGACAATCATGACTTGAGCTGTACTTACTTGGAGATCTATGGGAAAGGCAAAAATGGCAATATGTTATGGCAGAGGGAGCTGAAGCTCAGCAGGAGAATCTGACTGCACAGCCCTCTCCTTGGTGGCATGTCTACAGATACCAAACAAGTATCCTGCCCTGTGGAAGCAGGCAGGACCGCAAGAGCAAGGCAGAGACAAGGTAGTGCAGGTAAGGTACAGTGACATCCATGGACATCATGCACCCAGATCCCTACCTCATCTGCCAGAGTGCTGGGGACCAGCACACCTTAGGTGCTTTCCTTGCCACTCACCAAAGCATTCTCCTCTCCCACTTTTAAACCAACTTTTTAAAATGGTCTTAGGTGCCTCAGGGATCACTGTGAAAAAGATTTCTGTTGGTGATGAAGACTGTTGGTTGAAGCATGGGACTTTTTCTATCAAAGGCTACAGAATCGGAACCCTAATTTGGGCTGAAATACACAGCATTAGTAGAGAGAAATAAGACTTTGTACACAGTATGTTTGAAGTCTTTGGAATAATTATTTGTTTAGTGAGTAGCAAACAATAAAACTTTGAAACTAAAAAAAGACTGTTGGTTCAAAGGATTTGCTTAGTACTGGGGCTTGTATCCTGCCTCTAACTTTCACTCAAGTCTTTTGGGTAGTTTGCTTGTCCTTTGTCATGTTTCCTTGGCAATGTGATGCTGCCCACTGTGAATTGCCAGATGTACCCACAGCCCCAAAAGGTGACCTACTCCAAGTGTGGCAAATTTCTAGGACAAGACCTGACATCTCAGAACACGAGTGGTCCCAAGCAGGTCTCTTCAACGATCCCCAGGAAGAGGTGGTGCCTTCCAGTAGACTGGCTGCTGACCAAATTCTTACATAATTGCTCCACCTGACTATCAATCAGAGATCCTTAAAAAGGCAGCCCTCAAACCCAGACGACTGGCACTCCCTCACCTCTCTGCTAAGTTTCATAGAGCACACTGCCTGCAGCCATGGATTTTCAGTGGCAGACCAGACCCTGACCTAGTCTGACAAAAGGCTGCAGTTACTGGGTGGCCTAGTTTGAGTGGCTCTCAGGTTCAGAAGGCTGTTAGTTGCTGGGCTACAGCTTAGCAGAGTCAGTCCAGAGCCCTTGCTGTCTATATTGCACTGTTGGTCTTCCTGAGTCAGCATCTAAGTCACTGCCAGAAGTCAGGATCATGTCCACAACAGGGATGGCACGTGCCTCTCTAACTATTGGATACAGCTCTCCAGTTCAGAAATCAGCATGTGCTGTGCCCTGCTGCACATCCATGTTGCAATTGGGGATGCACAGACGCTATTAAATCCGTTCCTTCTCTGCTTTGCGGCTTGGCAGGCACTTTTCATTCGATCATCTGCTCATTAATAGAACGGGATTTTCCGCAAATGCACATTTCTTATCCTTTTTTAATTCTGGTGTTTTGATACAACCAAATTTGCATAAGATTATCATTTTGCTGAGTTTAAAAAACATGTTGCATGTCTGTGGAATCCAAGTGATTTGAGAAAAGCTGGTCTGCTGTAGAATCTGTGGGTCAGGTTTAGAGGAATTTGAACTCCTCTGAATCCATGGTAGATTTCCCTGACATCCTGAGTCTCAGTCTAGCCAAAGGATTATTGCTTGTATGCACTGATTTGTCCCACTGGATATGGGCAATAGAAAACAGGCAAGATCCAGATATACTATCTGGATTTCAATTATAATATTGCAATAATTATTAGATCTACCAACCAGATATACCTCTGTTTTCTTGGTTGTGTCATGTCACAAGTTCACTGGAAGAAAGGACTCCTACTTTAGTACTGAAAAACACAAGGCTGTCTAAACACAATTAAAGTACTTCTGTGGGTGGGAGGGGAGGTGTCAATCTTAAAATTGCAAATGCCATAAAATATATGTAAATATCAAATGATTCAGAATCACTAGGCAGCATTAACAGTGGCATGTTATAAAATTAGAGAGATAATTGAGTTATTACTGGTTCTATCTTTGTATTTTAAAGATAATACAAAGAGTCAGTAAGAAAGAAAACCTTTGCTCTAGGTACTGTGTGATCTTTTTACTATGTCAGATTTTTTTTTTTTAATTTTTTACCAAAAAATTAGAAGTGAGCTTAAAAGCATCTTGGGGAAAAATCAGTTGTAAATCAAGCCCAGGTCTCCAAGGTGATTGTGATAGAAGTTGCCTAATTGGAAATTTTGCAATCAGCCTCCTCAAGTCAAATTGATATGAGGGCTAGTCATGAAAGGGAGGAATGAAAGATGAATATACAATTAACTGTAATCCCATTACAGAAGTTTAATCTTAATTAATTTGAAACCACTGATTAATTGCTGGAATGTATTCCTTATTTTCAAAAAGGGAAAGACAAAATCTCCTATACGCTGCCAGTGAAAAAGGGCTTAACACAAGGACCTACCTCAGTGATGAATGACAAGGGAGTTTGTTCACACAGGCAACCCATCAAAGTATGGTCTTTAATTTGTGCTCACATATGATTAATCAGGGAGTGTGTGTTCATTTCCTTCTACAATAATTAAGGGGAGGTGCACTAGATTCACAAATTCCAAGGGGACCATTTAAAGTCTGGTTACATTACATGGCACTCTTATTAAAGGGCCATCTCTGGGTAAATAAAACAGTTCATGGTGCCAAATGAACATTTTGCAAACCTTAAATGAGATGGGTTTGTAATGAAAGACCATGTTATTTTAATGGCTGGCTGCACAGCAAATTAACAACAGAGACAGATGGAAATGCAATGCATGGGGGCTTTACGGGGGATAAAGGGTGGAGTGGTGGTTATTAGAACAGGACTTTAGACTATAGAAACCCCAGAATTTGTCCACAACATGCCCTTATTGGAGGTATTGATGACTAGAGATCTTCAGAGAGAAGTAAGTGATTATTTCATTCTTCTCAGGGACTTCCAAGAGGATAAAAGGAATCTGTCTGGCTCTTGAGATATTGCAATCAATGTTATTCATATCCGCACTTTGTCAGGACAATTCTGAAAATAACCAGCTAAAGGTCCAGAATGTTTGATGTATAGGCAGGAAGAAAGGGACATACTTGGTCTGATCTAATCACACGGGATCTGATGACCAGAAACCTTTTCCCCTGAATGGAGCACATAACTCCTGAATGAAACATGATATTTATCAACCAAGACTCTGTATCTATTTTCCATTGCTATATTTTAAGAAAGCACATACAGCACCGATGGGGATCACAGGAGGATAATAGTCCATGTTGAAAAAGTAATATTCTTCACTAGTTTTAATTGGTTATTAATATTAATATTTGCTAAACGGTCAGCAAGGCAGTGCGTGAATTAATGAACTAATTCATTACCATGACTGTATATTATATGAACAGGGTACACTAAGCCTGTAAGGGCATTCTTGAGAAGATAGTTGATAAAGAGAAAGTATATATACTGAAATAAGTCATTATATGTTTTTCGGTGCCAGGTTAAGACCTTTTTATTTAATCAATATTTTAATATGTTTTAATATTGAATTTTATTATTGTATTTTATTAATTTTCAGCCAGAGTGGGTCATCAATTTATTTATGTTGTTAGCTGTCCAGAGATGTTAGTAATTGGATGGCATACACATTTTATTAATAAATAAATAAATCTGTTATTTCTTCTCCATAGACAATGCCACTGAAAAATGAGAATAGGGTAGGGGATGAGAATTACAGCAAGGGCACTAAACAGAGCAGTAGAGGGGAAATAACAAAAATAATCCAAAAAGTTTTTACTATATAACTGATAACCAAAGGCACTTTATTTTACACCAAAGTGACCGAACTTTCTAGTCAAAGCAATAAGGGCCATTCTCTGAAATACAGATGATGCTAAATGTGTATAAGTATTAAACATGCACATTTTTATTTTTTTAAATACCAGCAGCACAGCCTAAGCAGTGTGGGGACCACAGCATACAAGATATATTAAGGTTTTCTCTGCACATTTTAGTCCTGTTGAAAATTTATTTCACATATGCCCACTCCCAAAGTTGATTTTAGACCCTGGAAGGAATCTTCCATACAAAATTTTATTTTATTAGAATATTCTAATTTTAAAATATTTTAAAGCAGTTTTATCATAACTATTTTTGTTATAATAAAATACTGGGGGCCATTAAAACAACTGTCTTTAAAGCCCTTTCTTATACCATAAAGTAGAGGCAAGTTTTAATCAATATCATCATCTTTTTTGTGTCTGATGGCAGGCAGACCTTAGTGAGGTGGACATTCCATTGGGAAGGCCATTCTTCACTTGCCATCAGTTTTGGCTCAGAATAATCCATGGAATATTGGACCAATTTAGAGAATGCCAATGAGAAGAAATGTACACATACGATTTGGAATTCGGCTGTGCTGGTCACATATCCGACACTGAGGGTTTCTCACTGGTTGACCAGATACATGTTCCACCAACTTGCAGTACATCTCAGGACCTCTTTCACCACAGGTAGCATTCGTCATGATGAGAGCATTGGAAGCCAAGTTCAGCACCGCTGGAAACAAGCCTAAAAGAAGATGCAGTAATTTCAGGATACAGTAGAGAACACAACTTAAAATATATGCTTGATATACCTGTTTTGATGCAGCAGCTTCAGCTATTAGAAGAGGGTCAGGGCATGATCAGAAAAAGGTGAGCCATAGGTTAAGAAAGCCCATCAAACTCTTCTGGCAAATCTACCTCTAAAATCTGCTTTTGGAATAGAATTTTTCCACTGAAGAAGTTGTGTCAACACACATCAAGGTCTGCTGTTAAGTTAATGAAACTCCCTTCCCATGATGTACCGGTTCTCATTTTCATAGTAGCTACATTTATTCAAATTACTTCAGGTTTTTTTTTAATGAAATGCCAAAACAAAAAGAAAAGGAATATTTTCAGTTTATTGCAAGTCCTCAAATTTGGTCACATCTACCCCATCTCCAAGTAGAAATGGGCACACACACCACCAAATGGAAAGCAACAAATTGGATGTGATATTACAGTCTGCCATGACAACAGCAACAACCTATGTGGTCTGGAGATTTGAAATGCCAAAGACATTGATACTGGATGGAATTTGGGTCTGTGTCTGAAAGCTACAGAAGACTCTTATGTTTGCCACCCCCGCGCCTGGCCTCATTCCCTGTTCCCAGCTCCAGACTTTAATGAGCACAAAGTCTAACCTCAACTAAAATTGCCAAGGATGGGCTTGAATGTGTAACAGATTTCTGAAGCTTTTCTTTTCTGTCTCCTTCTGGAATTAATGTGGCATTATTCAGCCGATTTCTTTTGATCTGCCATCTCTGTTCTCTTGTCTGTCCCTGCAATTAACCTGTGTGTCATTTAATTAGTGACCTTCTTGGCCATGGTACAGGGATCCTCTGACATTCTACATTAGTGACTCCAGCACTCCCCTTAAAAGCCATGTTAAACATATTGCCTAAGCAAGGCATCCAATTAGCGGCTAACTTGTTCAATTTGTACAACCAGTCAATCAATAGGCAGGACAGTATTGAACTCACAGCTTGCCACAACTTTACAGATTATATACCTTTTTACTGTGTTCTAAATTCCGCATTGTTACAACTGTTGCCTTTTTTTCATTCACAGATATTTATGGCTCTCTGCAGTGGGAGGTTACACAGGCAGGCTGGTGCTGAAAGCACAAATGAACCGTCAGTGGCTGTGGCACCTCATGATTGACTTACAACCTCATTATTATGTCTGAAGCTCTGAAGCATGAACATAAAAGGCAGCAATCATTTTGGCATAACATGAAGACCAGCGCCCTGCTTTCAGGTGTAGCGTATACAGCTTCATCTAATGGGAGGACAGCATAAGCACATAATATGGTAAGGCAGAGCAGAATTTACAGTGGGAGATGTTGGAAAAATATAGTAGAGACACATAAAAGGAAAAGATGAGAAAAGGAGAGGGAAGCACACCCTGGGTGTGTGCTTTTGTTGCCTTAACCCATTCTCTCTGGCATACACTCATGCAAACCTACAGAAAATGTTTTATTTCCCTTGAGGATTCCCTAGTCTGTGGGGAACAATTATATATTATATGCAGATGGATGTAACAATCCCCTGATGGCGCTCACTCTCATTCTTTCTCTCGCTAGCTCTGTGTGTGCCTGCGTGCGTAGCACCTTAGGAGTCTACAGTGAAGTGCAGAAATACAATGTGTAATTGTTATTTAACCATTTTCTGCCAGCTTAAAATCAGCCACCCTCCCAACAACTTTGGGTGTTTCTGAAAAATATTTCAGTCATTTTCAAAATAGTTGTTCATTGAAATAGCAACTTTATTAAGAAAAAAACACCCCTTTGAACTTTAAGCTTTTTTTAAAAATGGAAGTCATAGAACACTAAACAGGATTTTTTAAATTTACCTTGGATTAGTGCATCTAGTGCATTTCTAGACAATGCTTTTATTGTGCATTCCTCATTCACAGTTGTTACTGGATGCTTTAGATTTTGTCATTGTGTCCTGCATTTTGCATGGGCTGGGGAAGGGCAAGGAAAATGCAGTATTTTTTGAACAACAAAACAAAAGCACAACTCTCCACCAATTTAGTTCCACTATACTTTTTATTTAAAAGCTATTTTAATTTTTAATTGATTATTTATTGGGTTTTATACTTTGCCGAAATGTCTCCAAATTTTTTAAGGTTAATTGTGTGAATGATTCTGTTTTGTAAGCCACCCCAAGGCTTTTTGCAAATGGGGTGGCATAGAAATGTTTTAAATAAATATATATATCATAGCAGCATCTAGAAATTACATAATGAAAAGTAAGAAAGGCAGGAAAAGAAAGAAGAAGAAGAAATAACTGTTTTGAGATATTATCTTAATCCCACAAAGAATCCACCTCTGGAAAAACTCTCAAAAGCATTCACAGTTGTCTTTGAGAAAATAATGCTTCTTCTAAGATAGCACATACTACCTACAATTATTCTAAGCACTTTGTTCAGTAACAATTACATTTAGCAAATGTTCCTAATTTGGAACATCTTTCCAGCTGGCAAATATATACAGCATGGCAGACCCACATAACGCCTACCTAGTTTACACACCTGCTTTAATAAATAACAACATACTGTAGTGATTGTGGCTGATTGCAACAGTGTCCTTATAGAAGGGCCCTATAGGCGCATGCACAATAGAAGAAGCAGAGTTAAGCCAAAGGCATGGCCATAAACGGAATAAAGATTCAGGTCATCAAGTTCAGGGAGTAACCTATTAAGATTTAAGAGCCAACTGCAAAATAGAAAGACCAACCCTAGAAACAAACCAAATCTGGTTTGCTTATTAGAGGCAGATTAGAGTGGCTTACATTTACTCATCAGTTTGTGGTATGGCCCTATAAAGATTGACAGCTTTGTGCCTTTTGAACTAGGGCAATTGTGAACATAGTGGAACAATAGCACACAGTCATTAATTTGGTAACTGATGGATAGTTTCAGCACACACACACAAGTATATATATATAATGTCTGTATGCCACACAATAGCCCAAGCATTGTCTGGGCAGCTTACAATAAAAGCCTGAACAACCAACATAAAACCATAGAACAAGAAATAGAAAAATTTAATCAGATATACAAAAATAAAATTCAATATAATAAAAACTAATATGCACAACAGGAGAAAGTAATACGCAACCAAACCTGTATTTGTAGTAAACATGGACTGATATATTATGAATTCACTATTAAGTTCTGAATTAAAGCTGTCTCCTTTGCTGCGTGCCTTGTTCTCCCGGCTGTTGCCCTTCTGGCTCTAAGGATGAGGACTCTGGAGGCCCATCTTCATATGAACAATTTGCAACAGGGCATGGCCATCATATGAAATCATCACAATGGCCGATTCCTTTATTCCAAGGTACAGCTCCCAAGATGCACCAGGATATTGTTCAAACTCCAATACATGGATTGAGATTTTCTATTAAAGAACTCTCCTCTTGAGTTCACATGGAAGAATTTTTGCATGGAAAGAGATTACTTTCTAAGTAAATAAAGCATACATGAGATAAGCTTGCCCGTTATTAGATGAAACATCCTTAGGTCTAGAAAAATGAGAAAGTGTTAGGAAACTGATATAAATAGATTTATACATCTTTATCAACTAGTACAATGTATTTTTATAATGTCCATGTGCAGTATGAATTGAGAATTATTCATGTCTAAACTTCTTCAGATTTAGTTTTATACTGGAGTGTATTGATTTTTGATTGTTGCTGGCAGTGTCCTGTACATCAAAAACCCTAGAAAATGAAGATTTTCAGGGTATTTGAGCACAAAAGTGGATAGCAGGTGCCCTGGTAAAGCTGCAGGTCAGGGCACTGGTTACTGGTGCCCTACTAAGATCACTGAAAGATTGTTCTGAAGTTGCTACTAGGAAGACCAGGAGGGAGGAGACTCCATTTCCATTGCACCCCTGCCAAGATAGATCACATCTGCCTCTCTTGTGTTGTACTGAAATTCCCATCATTCTGGTTAAGGCTGATGAGAGCTGTTCTCCAAAAACATCTAGACAAACCATTTGCCACTGACCATGCACAGGTTATCATAAGTGTGACGGGATCCACATTTTGGAATCGGGCTAAGGAAAAACAAATGTTAACATCTGCAAAATACATCACTTTGCTTAGCTCCATCCTGAAACAAATGGAAAAAATGCTAATCACTAATAAGAGGATTTGAAAAAATCTCTTTGATTTGGGGCCAAAACAGACATTGCTGCAGATCTGCACCTAGCAGCCAGTGCTTTGTTTTTCTTTAGATCAGGCACAGGGATCCCAATCCAGGAGCATGGACAGTACTGCGCGGACTAACAGGGCTGTTAAGAGCTGGATCAACTTGTTCTCACATATGGCAAGTTAAAAATGAACTAAAGAAGCATCCACTAGATACATATCTAAAAGAATGCCTGTTTTGGCTCTCAGTTGGAACCATAGAAGCAGGTTGCTTACCTGTAACTGATGTTCTTCAAGTGGCCATCTGTGCATTCACACATATGGGTGCTGCGCCTGTGCAGTGCCTAGGCCAGAAGATTAGAAAGCTAATGGTTTGGCAGGAAAAACTCCGCTCTCCTCCCCCCAGTGGTATACATAAAGCGAAGTGTCCGCCATTTTGCTCAGTCTTGAAGACCGAACGTTCACCCCCTAACGGCTGTAATGATATTACAATAAGCATTATCACCATCGGTACCCTAAGTACTTAGACACGGTACCGATGAATAACATTTCCACTCACCGACACCGAGTGGGGCTGGCGGGTGGGTTGTGTGAATGCACAGATGGCCACTCGAAGAACATCAGTTACAGGTAAGCAACCTGCTTTTCTTCGTCGTGGCCTCTGTGCATCACACATATGGGTGATTAGCAAGCTTACCAGACTCAGAGGAGGGAAGCAGAACTCCCACAGCAAAGGCAGACAAAGTTAGAATGTAGAATGACCTCTTGGAAATACAGGTAATTCCATTTTTGCTAGCTGATATGCCAAGACAATAGTTTTGACAATCCA